GCGAATCTGAGTTGACCAAAAACTCCTGGAACTAATAAGCAATTATAATAAGGTTACAGGATCCAAGGCTAGTATTTAAAAAGTTAATCATTTTCCTCAGTACCAGCAAACAAGTAGAATTTATTTATTTTATTTTATTTATTTATTTATTTATTTACTTTTTTTCTGGTACTGGGAATCAAACTCATGACCTCACGCTTGCCAGGCAGGCGCTGTGCCATTGAGCTAAATCCCCAGCCCCTTAAATTTAAAATTAAAAACAATATTATTTGCAATAGCACAAAAAATAACAAATGTATAAATATTTATTGAGGAAAACTACAAAACTCTGATAAAAGAAATCAAAGAACTAAATGGAGAATTATCCCATGTTCTTGGATAAGAAGACTCAATATTGTTAAGGTATCATTTCTTTCCAACTTGATCTACAGATTCAATGTAATCCCAACAAAATCCAAGAGATTTACTTTGTGGATATCAACAAACTGAATCTAAGCTTTATGTGGAAAGACAAAGACCCAAAATAACCAATACATTACTGAAGAAGAAAAACAAAGTTGGGAGACTGAAACTACCCGGCCTCAAGATTTTCTCTAAAGGTACTATAACCAAGATTGTGTGGCACTGGCAAAAGAATAAACAAATAGATCAGTGGAACAGAATAGAAAGCCCAGAAAAAAACCCCACATGAATATAGTCGTCTGATATTTGGCAAAGGAAAAAAGGCAATATAATGATGAGAAGGCTGCCTTTTCAACAACTCATGCTAGAACAACTGTGCATTAAGCACAAGTCAAAACAGATAAAAAACACAACAAAAAGCCTACAACAATCCTCTGCCTAGGCACAGAATATACACTCTTTAAAAATACTGACTCCAAGTAGATGTCTTTTAGGAGGTGATGGATACATAAACTGTGGTACATCCAGACAACTGAATATTATTCAGAGTTAAGAAAAATGAACTATCAAGCCATGGTGCATATTACTATTTGAAAGTAACCAATCTGAGAGACTTCTTATTGTATGATTCCAATTACATAAAATTCTGGAAAAGGAAAAACTATGGAGATAGAAAAAAATATGTTTCTCCAGGGGCTAGAAAAAGGGAAAGGATGAGTAGGAAGAACACAAGATTTTTAGGGTAGTAATCCTATTTTGTATGATACTATAATGTTTGATACATGTCATCATATGTTTGTCAAAACCCACAAAACGTAAAACATCAAGAGAGAATCGTAACGTAAACTATGGAATTTGGGTGACAGTGATGTATCAAGTTCATTGACTATAACAAATGTAGTACTCTGCTGTGGGATGTTGTAGAGGAAGGCGTAGGTGGGGCAGACAGTATACAGGAATCTTTGTGCCTTGCACTCAATTTTGTTGTGAACCTAAAACTGCTCTAAAGAAATAAAATCTGTTAAAAAAATTCAGAGAACAAAATAGAGCTCTGATAGTAGACACAAATTTGCTAGAATGGAAAAGTACACAAGCATTTCCTAAAAGTATATATATATATATTTTTTTTTTTGGTTTTTCTCCGGTACCGGGAACCGAACTCACGACCTTGCGCTTGTCAGGCAGGCGCTTTTGCCGCTGAGCTAAATCCCCAGCCCCTCCTAAAAGTATATTAATATATTCTCTAAATATATGTAAAATACTTTTATGCAGAATATTTTGCAGAACTGGTGTTATGACCAAATATGTTTGGAAAAAGCCACTGGAAAATGCATAACTATAAGTTAAAAAGTAAGATGGCAGAAATAAGAAACTCAATACAAAGTTTGGAAGACACAATTTAGGAAAGCTTGAAGAGAGTTGAACAAAAAGACAAACAGAATAGGAATAAGAATAAAAAGGATGTGAATATTAGAGGACCAGTTCAAGAGGTCCAATAGCTGAACAGCCAGTATGTGGAATGAATGAATAGAAAAAAGAGGAACAGAAAAATCATTAATGAAAGAATTTAAGAAAATCTCATAAAATGACTGTCCTGCATGGTACGTGAAAGTACATCTGAGCTGAAATCTCAGATTACTGTAGATGGAAATGGGTTTCAAAGACAACAAACAAACATATAAAACTAAGGTTGTAAATCTAAGAAAGTCATATATGAGAAAAAGACACAGGGAAAAAGAATCTAATCAAAAGAAGGGATTGAAGCCAAGCATTAAGGATATTTGTTTAATTACTGTGAGTTTGGTAATCAGCAAGAAGGGCTTTGAGTCAGCTACCCCCTCTAGCATGTCCAATGGGTAGTATTGTGTGTAGGCAAATTCAGTCAATCTCAAGAATAGCCTGAGGAAATAATGATCTTTGTTTTTGAGATTTGCAGAACTGAAAGCATCTTATGACTATATATTTAGGATCAGCTTTGCATCATTTGGGCCACCACTGCAAGGAAGTACCCATTATTCTGTGATTACCTGGCACCTGTTGAGAAAGGTACCTACTGTTCTGGAAACACCCATCAGCCACTCCTAAGTGAGCTTCCCATAAGATGGGCTTTGTGATGAGCCTCCTGTCTTCTCATCTAGCTGGCTTTTCAAATAGACATCTTCATCTCAACATTTTGTCTTACAGCTTAACTGGCTTGTCAGGGGCAAGTAGCCAGACTTAGGTCTGGTAACCAGATGGAGAACCCTAACAGAACTCAGAAGGCTCTAGGAGAGAGTTCTTCTAGAGTTTGACAGTGTAGACTATATACTGTGCTTGAACAGAAAGATGCACACAGTAGGAAGAGATTTTAAGGTTGAATTAGTAAGTACACAGAAAAATAAATATGCAACAAAGAAATCAGTAATATACTGTATTTCCCTTGAAAACAAAATGTGCAACATAGGAGAACTAATCACAGTATACTACATGGCTCTATTGAGAGCAGCAAAAACCAAACCACTGAGTCAAAATTATAATATTTGAGAACTAGGTGAGGGAAGTATGTGTGGCTAGGTAAGGGATAAGGAGATTAGAGTTAAATTCTCATCCTCTGATGTGTGTAGTCAATAGAAAAATGCCTAAAGCTAAGAAAAGGCAATATAAATGTGCTATTTAGATATATGGAGGTAAATAAAAGAAAGGGATAAGCTGGGTACAGTGGTGCATGGGTATAATCCTAGCTGCGAGGGAAGCTGAGGCAGGAGGATCACAAGAGGTAGATCAGTGGAAGAGCAGTTGGCCCTGGGTTTAATCCCCAATACTATAAAAAAATAAACTAAAAACAAACAACCCCCCCAAAACAACTGAATTAAGAATGATTGCTTCTGGGAAAAAGTAACTAATAGAAGGCGGGGGGGCGGGGCCTGTTTTGTTTTTGTAATAAGTCTTAGAGACTGTTTTTCCTTTAACTGTATAACTAATAAACATTTTAAAAAATTTCAAGTGTTGTACAGTTTAAAAAATGAAAGGTAACGAAGGATATGGTGTAGTAAATAGCATTCAATTTACGATAGCTTTCAGTACTAGGCTACTGTGGGCCTAGGATACTGTGTTACCACTGAAGGGACTAGAAAGGTAACATGAAGTAATCCTATGTATAGATGTGTAAAATGAGGTTCACATAGGGAAATGATGTCAAGGTCACAGGTCCAATCAAAAGATGGTGACACAAGGATCAGTATAGAATGCTATAGTCTGACATAAACAGGACACAGGGATATACACAGTACGTTCACATTTTCTCTAGGCCAAGAGATTCAGGGCAAAGGAGAAACACCGGTCCAGTGATTACAAGGAAAGATGGCTTGCATCATTTAATAGGAATAATGAGGCATAGTTATGAGGCTTCTGCTGCTGTTGTGGTTCTCCTATGTATTACTGAAAAGCTCTTCACACTGAGGTGGTACGCAGGATACTGTGGGCAAAACCAAGCAGGTATAAAGGCATCTAGGGCGCATGTCATGAAGTTGGAGGATGTAATCAATATTTTAACAGAAGTGCCAGGGACAAAGGCTACTAATATAATATTAACCTAATGATACTTTCAGACTAAGCACATGCAGTGACTGACTGGCGCTAAAATTAGGATGCATATTTGGAAAAATTATGTGAGGAGACCCTGACAAGAGAAGCACATACATGCTACAGGCAGGCTCTGTCAGCTTCTATACTTTATTTAGAGAGAGAACTATGATTAGATCTTCCCTTCTAGCTCTTAACATTTTAGGAATTGAACAATGACATACTCAGTTCCTTCTAAGAGAAAGGCCACTTCCATGGGGACCATTCTAATTGTTTAGGCATCCCTGAACAAGATGGAGTGTCTTAGAGTAACTGAGCAAGGTTTCACGTATCTCTTACTCTATACATAAAATGAGTATTATTTTTATAGTTACCCAACTGGGAAGTTGTATGGCTATTCCAAGGGCATAATTCTTTCAGAGTTACTTTTACAAATGTTTATAGTGTGGATATCTATCTATCTATCTACCTATCAATCTCTCCTAGTTTACAAAATGGGAACAGATATTCATAACTCCTAGTTTATGAAAGAGATATATGTCTATATCTATGGGAGACAGATATTTGGTGTCCAGAATCAAGTTCATTCTCATTGGACCAAGGTTTACCACCATCAATGATCGTTTTAAAAAAGCCAGAAGAGTTTCACACAAGATTGAATCGTGGCAGCATTACTGGGATGGAAGAAGGGTTCTAGAAAGTGAAAGGATCACCAATAAGGAAGTATTCCTAAATTAGCAGGATCAGTATTATTCTGAGGTGGGCCAGGGAGCTCTGGATCCTTCTCCCTATCCCCTACAGTGGGCTCCAGTTCCCCAACACTGAGTTCACAGAACACTTACCCAAGTTTTCTTTGATTGTTCTGATAAAACAAAAGTTTCTCTGAGACTATTTCAAATGCCAAAGATCAAACATTTAAAAAAGATCCTACCTAAGTTTACTAATGGACAGGAGGATAGATATTAGTGTAAGATAAGAGGAAGTGCAGACACTGGGGCCTGTGGCTTGTTGCAGCTGGTCCCATCCTCTGCTCTTACCTGTGGGGGCCTGCATGGCTGAGCTGGGGATGGTGGCAGCATCTTGGGGAACAGTGCTGGTGTCCGGTTCAGGGGTGCTGGTTGTTGGTGAGGTGGGTGGTAGGCTCAGCAAAGTCCGAGGTTTCCTCTGTCAAAATGGATGAGGAAAAGTTTGCTACCCATGATAGGTAACTTGTTTACTTGTTCCTCTATTCCTAGCACTTAATTCATCCATGAAACAAAAGTATTTTTTGTGAATGCTACTCCATTTTATCTTTGTTTTCCACTCAGCATCTGGTCCAAAGCTGTACATATGGTAGATACTTAGTAAACATTTTCTGAACCTAGGTACAAGATTTTGGTCTTCTGAAGAGCTAGCACCTAATTCATTTTACACTATTATGTGGAATTCCAGACCCTTTATAAATTGGGCAGATAAAAGCAAAAAGGGAAAAGAGTATGCTATGGTTTAAGTTTATTTACATTATTTTATACTTTTTCTCTTTAAAAATGGAAATGACCCTTTTTACTCTCCTTTCTCCACCTATATCATTCTGTCCCTTAAACTTCCTCCTCTAATAATCCCTAATTATACTAATACTATAAAAAACCTGTAGTTAGGTGTACCTGGTCCATATCTTTACAATGTTAAGCTATCTCTTCTGACTAAGATGCTTTCTTTTTTTATTTACTTTACAAATTTCCATTAATCTAGGAAGTTCTTTTAGTTTTTCTCTAACTACTGTTTTCTGCTACCTCTGTTATTTTGGGGTTTTATCAGTGCATTGCCATTATATATTTACATAAAGCATCCCCTATTAGCCTAGAACTCCTTAAAGGTCCAATTGTAAGTACCATTCCTTGTAAGGCACTTAGTATGTGTGTAATACGTATTAATAAATACAATAATGGGGGATTAATAGGATTTGAGAGAAATCTATTATCTCCTCTATGCTGTTCAGGGCAGTCCGGGGGAGAAATATCTCAGAAGGTTCCAAGAAATTGTTTTCTAAAAGCCTTCCTAATGCAGGAAAACAGCCTCAAGGAGATCTACAATTTCCCTTTCACTAACTGCCTCATAAAGGGCCAACTACTACAAGCTGTAAAAAACCTGTCTGCCCCAGGAGTATATCATTTAAAGAATGACACTGGTTGTGGCTGGCACACATAAGATGGCTTTGACTGGGAAAGTTATGCAAACTATAGTCAGAACTGGACACCTGCTTATTTTCTGATATGGCTAAAAAGTGAAAATCCAAGTAACTAATGAGCTGGGATTAAAGGGAAAGACTAGTTCAACTTTAATGAGTTGGTGATAGGATTTTCTGAGGTCCCTGAAAGAGCAAGCCTGGTAATTAGGTACCACAAGAAAGCCAAAAGATGGAAAGTATTATTACTATCTGAGATAGGTGCATTGTCATGTACTATATTTCTTTATATGTTACTCATCTCTTTATAGATTACCCACTGTATAGGAAACTGAGGCTTTAGAGCCTTCTTCAAAGAAGTTTTTCCAGAATCATATTAAGTGGCCACAAGTGGAGATGAGATATAAACCTGTCTGTCTGTCTTCAAAGCTTTCCTTTTTGCTTCAAAAAAGATTGTAAGGCTCATGGATAAAATGGAAGACAAATAGCTTTTGTAAGAGTAGGCAAAACTATAGGAAGGGGAGTTAGGAAACCAAATGCCAGGGGAGTTAGGGAACCAAATGACATAAAATACAGGACAGGATGAGAATGACTGCTTTTAAGAATGGAAAGAAAGAAGACTTTGGTTACTATGTTCAAGACCTCCTGTGGGAACAAAGCAGAGACAATCATAGTTCTTGGGTTTTGAAGGATCTTAAAGGTTATTTAATCCAACCATCCATCTAATACTTCTATCTCCTCTGCCTGAAAACATTCCTTCCATAGAGTCATCTAATGCCTGATAAAATACCTTTAGTGACAGAAGCTTACTACTTTCTTTTTGGGATACATTCAACCATTCCTTTTATGCTGAAACAAAGGCCTTCTGTTTGAATATCTCTTACTGGTTCTCTTTCCATCTTTGTGTCCCCCAGACATGTTTTCTACCTTTTTGACCATCTTTAAGATGTGTCTATATAATCAAAACCATGATTTCTCAGACCTTGACATTCTAAGCCTTTAACCTTTCCTCTACATCATGAAGAAAGGAATACAAGAGATAAAAATGAATTAGGCCCCAGGTTAGGGGTTAGTTATAACAGATCAGAAACAGCCTTATATGTTACATAGGATTATTAGGACATGACATTGAGAATTCAAAGGCAGTAAGAGACAATTGAGATTAGTAACATCATTGCTAAAGTTATCCATCCATCCATCCATCCATCCATCCATCCATCCATCCATCCATCCATCCTTTCATCCAACATATACTGAATATCTCCCAAGAGACTGAGATATAAGGCACTGCAAGAGAAAAAGACAGTACGTTATTAACCTTTAGAAACTTACTTTCTATAAGAATTTAAGTCAGCTGGAGCTACTAATCAAAGCAAAGAATCATACAGACCAACGAACCAACGAACCAACCAACCAACCAACTCCCAGGAAGAATATGAGACTGAAATGGACAGTGCAGGGAGAACTGGGCATAATTTCCATATTAGAACTCAGGTATTCCAGCTCAAGAATGAGATTCTCAGAAATCCCCTTATACTTAAGAAGTGCATGGAGGAGGTGATGCCAGAGGGGAACTTGGCAAGCTGCTGAGGAACTTTCTTTTAATACCAATGCTTTCCCTGGGGAAGATATCTATGAAAAATTGGCATGGCTAAGAGGGAGTACTTTCAGTAACACTGCTCAAAAAAGTTTGGCTCAATGGTCTTCCAAAACTAGAAGTTAAGTGTTATGTCTTCAAGAACTGTAGAAAGTGAAAATGTGGGAGAGAAGCAGTGATATCAGAAGTAGAAAATCTGGGGACTAATCAATGCAGCCTTTGCTGTTTATTAGCTATGAGATCTTGGAAAATCATTTCACGTGTCTAAGTCTCAATCTACTTAATATTACATAATGTTAACACTATCTTCCAGAGTTTTGTGAAAATCATATAATATTATGTAATGGGGTATAATACAGGGTATGACACTAATGAAGGCACAGAGTTAGCAAAAGAAACATATTTATAGAGTCGATTTGTTTTTTCTGTTCACATGCCCAGAAAAGTGGGACAGAAGAAGCAAAGGCCTTCCATTTATGGAAGACATTAGACAAGAATCCCCTCAAATATAAGTAATTTCAAAATCAAAATTTGTTTCCCATCCCCATGATCTTATCTGTAGTATCAGCAACTCTGAAGTAAGCAGATAAGTAGGAATGACAATCTAATACACTGCTCTTGAAATCATACACCCAGTAAAGGGTCAATATATGTCCCTTTATGAGGTAGATGGGTATGGATGAATTACCCGCTTCATTATACCTTTCCCGTTTCTAGAAAACCCACATTTTTACCTACCTTACTGCCAGGTTTGGGACCCCTCTTCTTTGGGAATTTCAAAGGTTCAGGTGACTTGGATGGGGTAGAGATGGGATGGGGTATAAGTGTCTTGGGTGCTCGGCCTCGCTTCTTTCCTGGTTTACGTCCCCTCTGTCCTGGTTGATGCTCCAAGACAGTTTTGGTGTTGCTGTGGATGCTGGGCTTCTCAATGTTCACATCAGATGGAGGGTAGGGATTCTTTGGAATCACAACTGCAAGAAAAAGACTCATTCTATCACCCCTCCTTTCCTTGCATTCCCATCCCAGACAGAAGAAAAAAGGACTTATACTTCTGCGTGGAGAGTTTTGTTCCAAGAAGCTACTTTCCTGATATTTGACCTAAATGATTAGAAAATCACAGAAGAAACTTGAATTTAGATTGACCAGAATTGAAAGTTTTAAATTATTTCTACCAAATAATGAAAAAATTATTACAACTTTATCTCCAAGGTATCTAAGACAGTACTGTGACCGAAGGCCAAGTTGAAGCACATGAACAGAACCACAGCTCAGAATTTGAATGGATCTCAGGAGTCCACACTCCTTTCCTATTGAGAATAAAAATTTGAGGTTCAGAAAAGGACATGAAGCTCCCCCAGGTTACTCAGTGAATTGAGATAAGAACTTCTGTTTCAAAACTTAGGCAGGACTCCCCTGACAAGCAAATATACATTGATTTACTTTCAGTGTGATTATTGCAGTGAGGACCAGTGAAACACATGGAAATATAAATCTTCTAGAATCTTTTCTTACCTTAAAAACTTTTGCTCCCTATTACCTTTAAAGTCTCAATTCTTTATCCTATTATCGACGGACTTTTGTCTTTGTCCCTGCCATGCTCTCCTGTTATGTCTGATATAATTTATTGTCATTTACCCTCTTGTTCTACTAGCTCCATATATTGAGATCTCTATTAGTCTCAGTTAGATATATTTTCAACATTCAACCTACAGCCAACTCTTTATTGAGGCCTTCTCTGACTATGCCCCAACTCAGTCAGTGCCTTCCCCCATATCAATGTATTCTGCATGCATCTGTTAGTGTGCTTAATTTTATTCTAATCATCATCATCATCATCATCATCATCATCATCTTAAATTAAGAACTTCTGAGACAAAGGTATCTAGTTCATCCCACAAATAGTTACTGAGCACTTACTATAGGTTGTACATTGTTCTAAGCCCTGGAGAGAGAACAGTGATTAAAGCAGACACAATTTCTACTGTCGAGTTTACCTCATAGTGGGGGAGAGAGAAAATAAACAAATGTACAATATAATGTCAGGTGATGATGTGCTATGATTCAAATTAGTGAAGAGAAGGAGATTGAGGTATATACGAAGTCCCTTTGAGGAGATGACATTTATACAGAGCTCAGAGATGAGACAAAGGCACAAGGCTGTGAATACCTGAGGGAACAGCCTTCCAAGCAGAGGGTGTAACAAGTACATAGATTCTGAAATCTGGACATGTTAGTGTGTTTGAGTAAGGGGAAGGAGGTTAGTATAGCTAGAACTGAGTGAATAAAGGGGAGCTTGGAGGAATATTATGTTGGAGAAGGACTAACAGACTTGTAGGACTTTGTAGACTATGAACATGAACTGAACTTATTCTAGGTTTAAAAAGAAGTCACTGAACAGGGGAGTGACAAGATGTACTTAGAAACATGGGGCAATATGGCCACAAAAATGCACTAAAATATTCACCATAGCATTTTTCTTAAGAGACAAAACTAGAAAAATACTAAATGCCCAAGAAAAGAATAGCTTCTGAAAAACATGGTATATTCATATAGTGGAATAATATACAGCAATAAAAAAACATTGTGGTATGAATGAATCTCACAGAAATAATGTTAGACAAAAGTATATATTATGATTTCTTTATACAAAACTTAAAAACAGAAAAGCTAATCTAGAGTGATAAAACAGTGGATATTTTTGAGGGGATTGGGTAGGTAGTTTTTTTACTAAGAGCCAACCCAAGTGAGTCTTCCGAGAGAAACAAACTATTAGTATAAAAGAAAGAAAAGACAAAAGATAATAGTGAGCTAGTGTCTCAGATTGAGGTAATTACTGGAGAAGATGAATAGTTAGATTCAGAATATACTTTGAAGGGGGAGTTAACATGATTGGTATCAGTGAACAGAAAATTAGCACATAGGAAACACAAAATTATACCAAGTAAATTTGATTAAAATCATATTTAATAAAAGGGAAGAGCCATAGATGATCCAATGCTATTGCTTGAGCAGTTGGGAGAACAATGATGTCATATGCACAAACACTGGGGAAGTCCAGAAATCAGTTTTCACCAGTCTTTTGAGATACCTACTAGGTATCAAAATATGGAGCTGTTAAGCAAGTAGTTTTATATATGAATCTGGAATTCCAAGGAGAAGCTAGAACCGGAGATAAAAATTTGAGAACCATCAGTATGTAATTGATATGTAAAACAATTGTATTAGATGATATATCCTAGGGTGTGAGTACAGACTCAAGAAAGGAGCCAGGTGTGGTGGTGCACACCTGTAATTCCAGCCCTTACGAAGCTGAGGCAGGAGGATTCCAAGTTCAAGCACCACCTGGATAACTTAATGAGACTCTGCCTCAAAATAAGATAAACAGGGATGGGGATATAGTTCAGTGCAAAGGTCTTGTGTCCAATCCCAGGTACTTAAAAAAGATGATAGGGAGAGAGAAAAGAACATTTCTGAGATACTCCAATATTTGGAAGTTGGAGAGTAGAAGATTCAGCAAAGGAGACTAAACAGTGCCCTTGAATCCTGAAGAATATGAGAACATGAAGTCCCAGAGGCCAAGTGTTCTAAGAAAGGGGGAAAGGCAGCACCTTACCTACAATGGACACACTGACACCATGTATTTCTTGATCTGATACACTGAGGACACCATATCATGTATGTGTTAGCTCTGTCCAAAATCGGTAATCCTGAATCTAAGAAGACAAAACTTTACTGCGGCACACTTAACAAAATGCCAGCCTGATACTATCATGAGAAAAACAAAAGCTGCTATTCCAAATTCAGGAGATTAAAGTAATGCACAGCTAGTGCAGTGTGCGATCTTCTACTGGAGCCTGGATTAAAAAACTGCTGGAAAAAGATAGAAAAATTGCCAAAATCTACACAACTGACTGTCTCTTAGGTAACATTTGATGCCAAGTATGGTTTGTTAAATTTGATGTTGCATTTAGAAAGACCCCCTGGGGCATCAACAAGTACATTAATAAATTTGAGGATATATTTTATGATTCAGCAGTTCAAATCTTAGGTATGAACTCCAGAGAAATTCTTGCACGCATGGGTTCAATACTCAACACACACATGGAAAGGTAGTTCTCAGTGTGTGGTCTACTCTTGAGTAGACCTGGGGGCCTAGGGATCCTCAAAATCCTTTAGAGGATCTGTAAGGTCAAAACTATATTCATGATAATGCAACATATTATTTGCCTTTTTCACATTCATTCTCTCACGGTGAAGCTTTCCAGAAGCTACAGGTGATGCCATCACTTTGACAGCTACTGTAATATATGCTTGTATTTTCTTTCTTTTTTACTTGAAATACATTTATTTTGTATTTTTAAAGGATTCTAAATTTATTTCCTAGTTTTAAAGGGTTCTAAAATTTTTTTACTTGAAAAACATTCATTTTCTATTTTTTATTATTTTTAAAATTAAAATAACACTTTTATTGGTTACATATAATTTTAGCTATATTGATATATGTTATAAACCTTAAGAATTAGATATAAATGACTTTCTATTTTACCAAGAAGAATCTAGGATAGGGCAGCATGTTCGGTGAGAATTACTTAAGTCCTGCACAGTCATATATTTTCAGATATTCAGGAAGTCATCACTGAATGCTATGTTCGCACATGATACAGTAGATACTCCTGCACCAGATTACAGTAGAAATAAGTCATATGTCCTGTTTTCCAGCAAATACTCATTTTTTATCATAGATATATTCCCCAAATTATTTTACTTATATAGTGTATAAAATTTAACTTTTTATCCACATGTCTCACCTTCCACTGTTGAAAGTGGGAAGGGCAGATGACAACAGCAAAATGCTGCTCTGGACTTTCTATACTTGTTTATTTTTACTTTTGCCTAAAACCCCGAAATTACAATTAAAACTAAATCATTCTCAAAGTATACTTATGTAGATGCTAAACCAGAGACAGAAAATACCAAATAGTTTGAACAGGTTTTGGCAAATCACAGAAAGGAGAGAGTGGTGTCAGCAGTGAAGCCGTCTGCCTTAGTTTTTTATGGAGAGGAGCCCGTGAAGCTCATTTGAATTTCTCATCTCCCTCTTCCATGTCTTTCAGACGACTGAGGACTTCCAGAGAACCTTTGCCTTCTGTTTCCTTTTTTATGAGCTCATCAATTTCTTGGAGGCAGTCCGGGTTGATGAGACACACCATTTCCAGCTGCTGACTGTAGTCTTCACTTTCTATAGCCTTGATCAGTGGCTTGAGCTTTTCTTTCAGCTTTTTCCCCTCGTTCATGGGAAGGATGAACCGTAGCATCATAAGAACATGTTCTATCTTAATTTTCTCCTTTAAATGCTTTATTACTTCCAAAGCCTGCTGTTTGGCGCTCTTGTTGGGTTTGACTAAATAATGGATGTCCTCCTTCACTCTCTCGATAAGGATGACAGTATATTTTTTCTGGGGTAACACATTTGTCTGCCACAATGTTTGCAATGTCCCTAAACATCTGCTCCAGCTGTGTGTGCCTTTCTTTACCTGACACCAGAACCTCTCCTTTAGCCAAAATAGATTTCAGTTTGGTCATCTGTTCCAAATGCACTGATGAGATCTTTCTTTGTAACCTGAACTTTAGAAACATTTACCAACACTGAGTGGGTCTGGAGAACTTCATCAAAGTCTTTTTCCACACTGCTCCACCAACCGACAACCTTGTTTTTGTAGCAGATGATTTCAAAGTGCTTTCCCATGCACTTCATCCATACCATGGCCACATTAGCGAGGCGGATCTGGTTGGTGGGGGTGAAGATCAACACAGTGGCTACTCACGGACCTCAGATCCAGCAGGGCAGGGCAGACCCACGCTTTGCTGGAACGACCCGGGGGCTTGTGGGAGCTGTAATGACCGCACAGTGCACGGGGCATCTATACCCTGTGGACCTCCACCACAGTGTGGGGCAGACTTCTATTTCCTA